GAGCAGCAGCGCCTGGCGGGATGCGCGGCGAGCGCCTTCCGTGCTTTGCTGTTCAGGTAGACAGCGGCCAAGTACAGGCAACGCGAGGATACCCTCGAAGTGGGCAGAGGGAGGTGACGCGGCGTGGGAATCCGCGAAAGAAAGCGCTTGTTTGACGGAGGAGCCGAACGCGGCCGCAAAAGAACGGCCCTTTTCTGTTCTTCCCACGCTCTCCGTTGGAAAAAGCAAGCAGCAGAGGGGGACCCCCAGCTGGGCAACCCTTTCTGAGCGGCCTCACCCCGCCCTCTTCCTAGCAAACAGCGAGTTACTCCGGCATAAAAGTTGTGTCCAAAAGGCGGACGGAGCCGCCGGCTCGGGCACTTTTAAAATAAAACAGGTGTCATAAATACTGGATGTACGTTCTGGAGGTAAACGAGAACCACCTCTGTATTTTTTTGTTGTTGTTGTTGAGCCTTTGAATGTTACGCTTCATGCCTTAACACACCGAAATCATCCGAAGCAAGACAGGGCACCGGAACACACATTTCCACCATTCAAACCAGTTCATCAAGAGATGCTCAAGGATGAGGTGTTGCTTTTCTTATGGTTGAGGGAAGTACCCCAATCCCTCTAGTAGGCAGAAGCAGGATGGAGTCCCCTCTTCCCAATGCTCCTGGCAGAAGTGGCAGGATGTAGTGTCTCCAGTCCCCTATTTCTATTAAAGCCCTTCCCTGCCAAGTCTTTCAGCTTTTCCCCCAGCAAGGGGGAAGAATTCCTCAAAAAAACAAACTGAGGGAGGCGTGGAGTAGGTCAGAGAGGGAAGATTTATAATTTGGAGCCTTTATGTGGAATAAATTTGCTCATATGGAAACACTAGGCCAGTGATGGCAAACCTATCACAGCATTCATCAACACCTGACAACAACTATTCTCCCTGCCTGATAATAACAAACCCAAGAAACTGAGTTTGTTTTATTGGTATTTCATTTTTGTAATTATTTGACATTTCTTTATATAATACATAGCACCACGCATCATTGGACTAAGTGGATTGTATTTTTTAAAATAAATGAATATGTAAAGAATTGTTTCTCTTGTTCGGGGGGGGGGGGGTGACACGCCAGCAGAGTCGTTAGGCAATTTCCGAATTTTTGATACGTGAAGCCCAAAAGCTTTGACATCACTGCTCTAGGTGACACGCCAGCAGAGTCGTTAGGCAATTTCCGAATTTTTGATACGTGAAGCCCAAAAGCTTTGACATCACTGCTCTAGGTGACACGCCAGCAGAGTCGTTAGGCATTTTCCGAATTTTTGATACGTGAAGCCCAAAAGGTTTGACATCACTGCTCTAGGCAGTACACCTTTTGGTCTCAAATGGTATTTTTGTGGAGAAAGGGTGAGCACGGGGAGGTAAATGGGGACATTCTGTCTTCAGGCAGAAGCAGTTCCCAATTCCCCCACTGTAAAAGCATGGGAGGGGTTGCCTCTTCCTGTGTGTTCATCCTCTTTGGATAATACAGTAGGGGAGAATGAAGCCCAAATTACTAAATGACCCAGAGGAATGATAGAAGATCAGCAAGAATAAAATATGCAGCTCATCCTACGCAGCACAGCAGGCTCGCCGTATCCAAATCTTTGTAATGCACAAACCACTACAGGAGTCATTTCTAGGATAAACAGTTAGATCTCATCAGCCACACATTAGCAGGGACTCTGCCACATACACTGAGGAGCATGAAGATTCCTATCACGCGTTAACCGCTGTTCCCTTCCCTGTTGCAGAGTCCTGTAACAACTAAACCGAACACTTCTCTCTCTGGCATGGCGATTTATGAAGAGTATGTTAGAACACTTTGGTCTGGCACCTACAATAGAGTTTTAGATATTGGCAAAATTTCAGAAAACAATCACATGGCAGACGGTTCGTAGTTAAGCTGGTCCAGGGTATACATCCTTAGGAAGAAAGAAACCAAGGCTTTATCTAACTAAGCATTTCATGTAGCCACAATGCTAGCTTGTCAAATCTTCATCAAGAGCATTTAATGAATTTGTTTCAGAGACGCATCTTCCCTGCCCTTCTCAGCAGACTTTGCTTTTCCCTGCTAAACTGAACTGGAGCAGAGAACTAGTTCTACACATTAACAGAAAGATGCAGTGGCTACACAACACTTCTAAAAGCAAGCAGCTCTTAACTCCAACTCTTAGCAACTTTCTGGATACAACTTCAGTTACCCCTTATACATGGAAGTTCCCTTTATGGGTAAAGCTGATCTAGTTTACGGCTGAATATCAGTTTAACCATTTGTTTGGAAGGAGAGTATTGGATTCAGTGGTACATCTGAACCTGAGGTTAGCTACCCACAGTCCTGCTCTAATGCTGATCTTAAGTATAAGTCCAGTTGGCTTGCTCACACTAAGCAGAGAGGAAGAGACAGGAGAGAAACATGTTGGTCCAAGCAAAGAGAATTAATCCTCCAAACCAGTATTTCTCAACCATGGCAGCTTGAAGATGTGTGGATTTCAACTCCCAGAATTCCCCAGCCAGCATAGGAATTCTGGAAGTTGAAGTCTACACATCTTTAAGTTGTCGAGGTTGAGAAACACTGCTCCAAACACTGGCATCAGTTGTGAATCAAGGGCACAGGAACCACCTTGGAACTGATCTTCAATGGCCTGTCAATAGCTTGGTTTCAAAAAGGTGATGGACATTATTAAGCAAATGAAGCATTACATTATTAAAAGCATCAATCAAGGCTTATCAATACATACAATTAAACTGATAAACCTGATAGGGTCATTCCTTTTCTTGATTCTAAAAACAAGGGATCTAGTGTGGTGGTTTGCTTCAGAAGCACAAAGTCTCCCTTAGAAGTGGAACCCCGAAAGCTGGATGTTTTCTTAAAGAAATCAAATGGCACTCTGTACTATCTGTATTTTCTAGAGGGTGACAGGTTCTCCTTGGTCTTACTGGTAAGTTCCCTTAATAGCATAACATTTTATTTTCCTGCTTTATCTGTCCTGCAAACAAAGTGTCAATTGTATGCTACATACTAAATACAATGTTAAGAAGTATATAGTAAGGAATTAGAGCCTGGCTATGTCGTGCAATATCAATTGGTATGATTTTCAGAGGCCCTGAATTATTTCCCCCCACCCAAAAATGTGAGAGATCCATGATAGTCTCTATGAGAAAATCAGAACTTGATAAAAGAAAAAGAGCATTTCAAATATATGCTTATTTACATCATTTTTTTTTATTACAAATATCTATCTCGTCTCTCATCCGTGCTTCTCCAAGACTTTACCTTCCCATTGTGTCTTTAAGTGTCAGTAACGGTGTTTGTATTTTTATTAGCCTCTTCCTCCTCCAAGATAGCAGCACCCAGAGTCTGCAGGTCATCTAACACAGCAAACAAGGATTCTGTGGAAAGAGACACCTTTAAGGACATGATGTGATAGGGGCAGAAAGGACACTTACGTTAACTGGAGATAGCACAGGAAGAGAAACAATAGAGTTCTGGGAGAAGGAATCTATACCTTTAGATGGAGGACTAGTTCCTGTCTTTCCAGCTGACTTAGCTGGGACGGCTGCCAGGCGATTCTGCCGATACTGGGCTAATAGCCCTTCTTGCCTCAAGGTGGCCTGTACAAGGAAGGAAGCAATCTTAGTGAAAACAGCCACCCATGGGGCAACAACTCCCCCTTATTGCTCGAACATACCATCAACAAGTTTTTGTCCCTCTCAAGCTCTTGCAGACGACCTTCAAGCCGTGCCATTTCCTGTTGTGCTGCAGACTCCTGAAGTTTTGCCAGTTCCTCACTCCTTGCTTTGTCTCTTGCTGCCTGCCGCTCAGCTTGCCGTAGGGCAACCACTACGGATATAAGCACATTCACAGAGGGATTCATATTGCTGAGTGAGGAATGCAAGGCTCTTACCGTCATGTGCCTGACTGCCGTAGGGTCAGTCAGCTGATGCATACCATCTACCGTGAATGGCAGCAGCCCTTTGGAACTTCAGGTAAAGGTCATTCCAGGCTAAGTGTAAGAGTTCTGTGTAGAATGTGTTTTCCCCATCAAATCAACCCATTCAGTCTCCAGATGGCTGTTCCTCAAAAGCTCACCGCAGAGACGGAAGATCTAACCTTGTTCACAGCTGTGGTGCAGCCCTAATATGGACACCAGAGCCGGCCAAACCTCATTTCTAAATCACTTTGGATTATAACTGTTTTTCAGTGTAAGAGAGATCTTCCTTTGCAACAAATAAGTAATTCTCCTGGTGTTTTTCATTATTTCTGAGACTATTTAAGCATAAATACTTCTCTGCACTAATTGCATCTGCAGATAATCACCCAGAGACCCTCTTTAAGGTGACCCGTTTCCTTCTGGGGAAGGAGAATGCAGAAGTCTACCTGCAGGGGCGCACTGAGGCATTTGCTGATTTTCT